CAACACAGAACTGAACGCAAAAACAAAGTACCCACAACCAGAGACAAAGTTTGATATTAACTAAAGGTCTTATTTCACCAAAGAACACCTATAACACCTAGAAGGATTGGAAGTCCCCTGGGCTACCAAGCCAGAAAGAGGGGAGGGCTGGGGACCTTAGCCAGGCCTCCTGACATCTGCAACCAGTCCAGAGGGTGGGGGCCTCAGGCCTCGGCCACACCCCCCGACATGCACAACCAGCCCAGTGATGACCACTGAGCCACCACAGGAAGCGCCCCAGACTCTCCTGAACCCGGGAGGGGGGGGGATCTGAGGGCCTCAGCCACGCCTCCAACACGTGCTGCCAGCCCAGCAATGCTCACCAAGCCACAGAAAGAAGGGCCCCGGGTTTCCAAGCTGGGGTCGTCATGAGTGAGGGCTTTTGCCACACCCCCATGACACCTGCACCCAGCCTGGCAATGACCAAGCCACTGCTGCAAGTCCTCTGGTCTCCCCTGTTGGAATGAGGGGGGTGCCACAGGCCTAAATCCCGCCCCTCCTCCTCCCTTCTTCTTCCATCCCATTTCCTTCCCCTTCCCCCTCCATCTGCTCCACAACATCATAGAATGTAAATAAATAAGTAAATAAATAAACTAGAAAGGATATTTACTACTGAATTTAGATCAAAGTAATAATGATACTCATGTCATATAGCATCTTTCAATATTTTAAATTAAGAATTGAACATTTCAAAAGTATAAGCATTTCACTGAGAAGTCTAAAACTAACCTTTCATTCCTGAAACTCCAACCCCATTTCTTTCTTCCAGTTTCACTATGAATTTGATGTTACCTTTATTTTGTAGAGTGAATCTATTAACATTTCTAAGAAAAAAATCTAATGTGTCCTCTTGGTATCACCAAATTGTGTCATCTCGTTTAAAACATGAAACTTAGAGTTCAACCCAACTGATTAGAGGATTCCCTCTCTACTCCAAAGTATGTAAGTACCAAAATGTAAATCCACAAAGTAAAGAGTGGGAAATCCTGTGAACATGGTTATCTGAATATTCTCAATCTGTGGCTTTTTGCCTTTTCTTGAACAAAGTGATGCTAGGAAAACTGTTTAAAAGTGAAGCCTTGAATTCTGTTGCTGTCCTGGGAAAGATAACTAGCGCAATACTCAGAACAGTGAGAGATCCCAAGAGCAAGCAACAGAAAGCAGAGACTAGGAACAGACTGGCACTCACAGTCAAAAATCCCAAAAGAAAGTTAATGTTGGTGCTACATGAGTATAATAGGGTTCATTGAGCCTTCAAAAGATCACGAGGAAACTAAAGGGGCTGGTTGAATCTCCCCAACCTTTTAGACTGGGATTGTGGGGATAGAATAGAGAGGATATACAGACTGAAGAGCCAAGATGCTTCCCAAAGGTAGGTATCTCAGCAGCCTGCCCACTGCTTCTATTATCACAAAGCCCAGTGTATTAGAGCTCCTCTTGCTTTATTCCAACTGAGCCAATTCTGCCATTTAGTGATCGACAAAAACTGGACCTGGGCCCCAAGGAGGCTACAGAGAAAATAAACGAGCTAAACAGGCACCAATAGCAAGCAAGAGGAAAGAAAGGCAGAATAATCAATACATAGAAAAACCAGAATAAAAAATAATCATACTTAAGAAGATTCAAATGCAGCACAACAAACAAATAAATAAAACCTCCAAGGAAGTAAAATATTTGATTTTTTTTTTTAAAAAGATGACAGGTAAGGGGATCTTAACCCTTGACTTGGTGTTGTCAGCACCACGCTCACCCTAGTGAGCTAACCCACCATCCCTATATATGGGATCCGAACCCTTGTTGTTATCAGCACCACACTTTCCCGAGTGAGCCACGGGCTGGCCCTAAAATATTTGATTTCTTAATTAAACAATTCAGTTGATGAACTAAAAGAGTGTGAAGAAAAGAGTGTTCATTCATAGGGGATTCACTAGCAGTCTGGAAAATACTGAGTAAGGAATATCTGAGAAAAACGTAATTTGTTAGATGGAGCTTTTTAATTAAACAATTCAGTTGATGAACTAAAAGAGTGTGAAGAAAAGAGTGTTCATTCATAGGAGATTCACTAGCAGTCTGGAAAATACTGTGTAAGGAATATCTGAGAAAAACGTAATTTGTTAGATGGAGCTTCTGGAAAAGCTTTTTAAAACAGATAAACTAAGCTTATATGAACTCTTCTACCCTCTGTCTCTTCCTCCTTTCACTGTGGAACTCATACATGGTGCTAGATGTTCAGCAGCATCTTGCAACCATGAAGGAACAAGTATGAGGATAAATAACAGTCAAAGAGAAGGATGAAAAAGTCTAGGTCTTTGACTGCCCTACTGAATATCATTACCAATCATGTACTGCTACTCCCAGATTCTGCATGAGACAAATAAACTCCTGTGAGTTTTAGCCACTATTGGTCTGTTATAGACAAATGCATTCCTACTGTTAGAAAAGAATTATGAGCAGTGAGGAAGGATAAATTATTCAGTAAATGATCCTAGTACACAACTGGGTGTTCATTAGTGGTTTCCACTCAGGATATAGAAGAATATAAACAATGAGAATAAGCTGAATCAACAAGAAAAAATATCAAACTTTTCCTGAGCTGAAGTAACTTCAATTCCAAAGAATGATAAGCCCTCCAAGAAGAGATAAGGCACACAAACTATCACCCACAGCAGAGCCTGCAAAGAAAAGGCAGCCACCATAAAAGTGCAAAATAAACTAAAATTTTAACGAAATGTCAAATACTAAGTGTGTGCTAGCTTGTCAATGTGGAATAACAAGGGGAGTTTGCACTCACTCAAAACCATTTTCCACAAGTTTCAATGGGGTGCTCACAACGAAGCCTGAGAACAGGGCAGGAAAACTGAGACCACCTCTGTTAGTGATAGAAGTCTGTTAGGGGGTAGTCTTCAACTGCTGGGGAAAAGACATGAAGCCCAGCTCACTTTTCCAGACCCTTCTCTCCTATAAATCAGAAGCTTTAACCCAGTGGGGAGAAGGAGTAGCAAACTGAGTTACCAACCCATGGTGTAGTCAAAGACCCACTGCAACTGGGAGAACAGGAGAAGGACGGGACCAAAAAACAAAACAACAACAAAACCCTCTACCTGAGAGAGAAAAGGAGACAAAACATTGTGCTGCGCCCTGAATTCTACACCAAATCAAGCAGAGATCTGCTAGCATTGAAGGACAGAAAACTTCTACTCAAGGCCAACCACAGACATAAGGAAGGGAGGATGGCTGCACAGAAAGAAGGGATAGAAGAAAGCTGAGAAGGCCCCTCAGTAGCTTCAGGCACACAGGTCATGGTTAAGATTTAGTTAGGCCTAGGGCTCCCATCACAGCACCAGGCAACAAGTAACACCAGTCTACCACTAGGGGAAGGGGCAAGAATGGGAGCGAGATCCCCTCTGTGGCACTGGGGTGGAGACAGCAGAGGTCTCTGAGGGTGTCGCAAAACACTGGGGGGGAAAAAAACCCCTCTGTATCCTAAGCCCAAGGCAACAGCAGCCCACCACTAGAGAAATCTGAAGCTTGTGGTACACTGAAGATACTGTCAGAAGCAACAGAACATAAACCTAGCTCAATTCCTAACTAGACTGACAATGTATACCACTTTACACCTTTCAAAGAACAATGTTTCAAGGAAAAATGTTTTGAAAAAAGAAAACAAAATCTCCTGTATCCACTTCAAAAAATTCTCTTAACTAATGCTAGCTATAAATACTTCTCCTTGCTACACATACTTATACAAGCCATACAAAAAGAACTGTCTGGTTAATGATGGGCAGTGGGGTATTGAAAACTAGCTTCCTTCACAAAGTAGTGTCTTTTCTTCAGGAAAGCTAAGATAACTAAATAATGATAATAATCAAGTAGCCTAAATGCCTCATCCACAACAAATAATTTAAAATCTTTGAGAGCAGTCT